GACTTATAGTTGAGTGTATAAGAAGAAATTCGAGAGGCCCAAATATTTTACATTAAAAGTATGTTACAGCAACTATGATTTCTCTATGATAATTTAAATTATGGCTTAGATCTCTAGAAGCCCCTATTTGTCCCATTACACAATTCTTCTTAAACTTGAGATTTTCTCCGATACTTCTCCAAGAGCGTGGGGTGCTGTATGACCAAATAAAAACAATTCGCATCAGATTTAAGTACATATAACACAGGATGGGGGGACTGCAGTATACGAATATAATACATCTAAACAAATCTGTAAATGGCGTGAAGAAAGAAACATTTGGATACACGCTTCTTATATATCTTCTGCAGAACATTCTGAGCCAGATTAGGAATCCCGGATTTTAAAATCAGACAATAAATTGATCGGCTTTTTAAAAAAATTATTGACCAATTGGGCGTACCGTCACCCGTAATAATAACATAACTTAAAGTTTTATAGCAACATAATTGCGCTCTTAAAATTTGGTGGGATTTTACAAAGAACATGGCCTACAGATTTTCCTGTGATTTTGAAATTTTTTTATTCAAGAATACCGTAAAGGGATATAATTTGGTCCTCTTAATTGCTTTAGAGCAGTTCTGAGTTTGTTATTAAATCCTGAGTTAAAGCAAGATTTTAGAATTAAGAGATTGTTTAAGGGAATTTTTACCAATTAAATCGAAGTATTCCAATACATGGCACCCTAATTTAGTATTTAGTTATCCGGAAAAAGAGCTAAGAATAAAGATTTGTTAATCAAGGACCTTACTTTAAAATTTTCGCAGGACATAAGGTCCAAAACCCTTGCCTTTATTAAAACAAAATACACATATTAAAAAAACATTGGAAGATACAGAAATTAAAATACCAGATTGCATAAAAACTTCTAGACCAATGAAAGAGAAATCTAATTTTTCTGCTATAGCTGCCTACTCTCAAAGTTTTAATCGTTAGATTCGTTTAATGCTTACATTGGGTGCGATTGATACTTCTCAATTCAGTGCCCACAGTGCTCGGCACGCGTCTATATCAAAAGCTCTGCGCAATGAAATTTCTATTAAAATAATTCGTAGAACTGTAGGTTGGTCGGCAGATTCCAAGGTTTGTGCAATAGTTTATAATAAAGCAGTGCAGCCACTGTGGTTTGCGAATACCGTGTTAAGTTAAGAGACAAAAGAATTATTTTTATATTGTAAGTTCTTCTTATTTTTAATCAATCTAGTAGAAACGGCGCGAAGATAATACGGTTAGTCGGCGCTATATAGGCTGTCTCAGATATTGTAGATAAATGAAGAAATTTCAAAACATCATAAATCAATTTTTTCAAATGGAATGCCCAGGAGTTTTTTTTTAGTCTAACATCAAATCAATAAAAACATAGAATGTAACCCCCGATTCGCTTCTCTATATCTTCGCTCGTATTAAACCTACAGCAAAGGTTAAATGGAGAAAGTTTTAGAGGAAACTTAGTGCATTTGATAGCCGGCTTCAGATTTACGATATGTCAATTGGTTTGCGAAATATCCGCGAAAAAAAGACAATGGCTGATTTCATTTTTCGCCAGTAAATTCAAAACGGTTAAATTAACAGCTGTCAAAATGTGACATTACTTAGAGACGTAAGACAGCGCGTATGAAATGTCTCAATCGTCTTTTGTTATCTCAAAACCTTAACTCTCATTTTTCTTATGACCGCCATATTGGATTTTTTGATTTTTGGAAAAAGGGTAAAATTTCTAGTTAAGTGATGCCTCGCCAGTACACAATAGCGTATTATGCAAAAAGTGTAGAAAACCATACGAGTTGCAAGCCACACTTTTTTTAAGATCGTTAGTTTTTGGGTACATTCACTGACATGACCCTCAGAATTGACAAACGTCAAGCCGTGCGAAATATTTCCGAAAACATCCGATTGCTCGGAAACTTGTCCGGCAATATTCTGGAAATGTCCGAAGTAGTTTGTATCCCTGGGAAACGATGCATTTTATGCATTTTAGAGAAGGTACTTGAAAAAAGATTTTATCTCACTTCGTAAAGTTAGATCTTAATTACCTAATTTTTGTTTTACATTAACATTAATCAGATATAAAAAACGCATAAACACGTTCAATTTTCAGTGGAACATGAACGTAAAGAACGAATTCTCAACATATTGTTTAAAAGAAAAAGTGATAAAAATCGTCGTTAATTTAGTTAAAATACTTAATAATTAACCCATAAGTTCGAAACACACAGAAACAATTGGCAAGTAATGTACTGGTTATTAATTACAGATTTGCAAAATGATGTCCAGTTCCATAAAGAGATTTATGGTTAGAGGAAGAAATTCCAATGGCGAAATGTCAGAGGATCTATGAGGCCAAGATATTCAAACATTTAATGAGTTAACTCTTTGTCCAAACTGCTTGCATACGGATTTCCTCAATTGAATAGTGTTGTGCCCGTTGAAATCAGGCTCGTCTAAACTCATCTTCGGTTAGAATAGGTGCTAAAGCCGGCACAATTTGGTTTCGTAAAAGCTGTAGCTACATCTGTCAGTTTAGGCTGTAGTCAAACAAAAATGGTCTTATAAGTCGATTTCTTGAAGTGATTGATAATTTATATTAGTTGCTCAATTAATAAGGCTAAGTAAAGGTACGAACGATCCCACACCAAACGTTAATTCCAAATTTAGTCTGTACACATCTTTCAGACACTTCGTGAGGGTTTTCCACATTCCAATGATAAATGTTGCGCTTATTAAAAAATATAGTTCGTATTCGTAAACCTACTCGGACCACAATACATTATTTAAAAAATCAGGATTTTCATTACACTTCCTAGTATAGCACACACAGAAACGCATTCGTCTTTGAAAGTCAGTTTACTTACCGTTTACGTACCGTTGATTTTGACACACCAATTTTCCGTTTTACAGTTCTTACCGATGCACTAGGGTTCTTCTTGATAGCTTGTAAAATGTTTCTGTCTTAAGAACCCACCGTTAATTAAATTAACTACGATTTTTTCTAAATTGGAATTTATGAGGCTGCGTAAATGCAAGTACAACGCTAATATGTTTTGAAAAAAGCTAACCATGATCTTCTTATAAAATAATTAAGATATAACTTTAAGAAGTGTAATAAAATATTTTGTGCGCTTTTTTTATTTTTTATTTTTACGCCCTTTCCAAAAATTGAAAAATTAAATATGACGGCCAAAAGGAAAATGAAAGGTGGGTTACGAGATAACAGACGATTGAGACATGTCATAAAGGCTGGTGTGAATAGAATAAAATACAATTTAAATGGAAAATACCATTGTTATGTGGCAACTTCAAATGGCGAAATAAGCAGATTTTTAAAAAGCCTAATTTGTCTTTTCAAAATTGAATTTAATTCGTTATGACGTAAGAAAAGGATTAACAAGAAACAACAGTTACATAAGAAAATTAAATCAGAATCAGAAAACCCCAACGAATTGTCTAAAAAAAAAATCCTGGATCATTATCTCCGTTAGTGGTAACAACACCATAAATACTTTTTAAACGAGGGGGTCGACGAACCGGCTGCCTCCACGTACCTGGGATAATTAAACAAATGGACACCGGGAGGAAGGCTTCCCAGCGATTGGGAAAAATCCAAATAGAAAATGGTATTAACAAGTTAATATTTTTTTGAGGTTCTCAAGGTTAATTAATTAATAATAAATTAATTTTTATTTCAAATTACTGACTTTGAAATAGAAAATTAAAATTGAAACTTGAACGGAATTGTGTCAGCTTATTTCATTGAATTCGAAAATGAAAGATGTGCTATTAAAAAAATCAGTAAACAGTGTTTCTAGAACTCTTTTAAAACAGCTCATTTTTCAACACCCTGTATATTCCATTTAAAGTGGTATGTCATGAAAGGAATTTAGTGTTGGGGCTGGTCGTCAATTGACCACTTCTTAAATGACTGGTCAAATTTGATCAAAAATGTTTTAAATAACATCTTGCAATTGTAGAATGTTATCTATCATTATCTAATAATAATGTGTACTTAATAATATATTATTATGGGTTTTTGATGTCCAATCTACCAATTTACCTATAACCCCCTTCAATACGACACTTAGCGATTCGGGGAATCCCAATAAAAACATCCACTCCATTTAGTTATCAGAATGAAGCGATGGCAAAAAATATAAATTTCATCGTATTTTTAAAATTATTTCGGTCAATTGAAACAAAAAACAACGCTACAGGAATGGTCTGCAAAATTCGGCTATCCTTTTAATTAAAGCACAGAACTATTCAGATTCTTCAAGGGTTCCAAATGCTTAAAAATGTAGGAAATTATTTTTTAATTCGATGACACGGCTGAAGCCTGTACAAAATGTACGTTTACATGGAAGCGGCAGCCCTGCATACTTTATAGTATTTTTAAAGTAAATCCGTCGGTCAGTTCGCCGGATATTTCTAGACCATCAACTGTGCGCCACCCGGTATATAAGTATAAAAGATGTTTTAGGAGCATTCTACAAAAGTGATAATATACAGGGTGTGCAATTAAAAAACATATGTAAAAGTTATGAGTTTCGAAATTTACAAATTTCATACAGTAAAAAAACCTGTATAATTTTAGATATGAAAATTACAAAAATTCATTAAACCTAAATCTTTTGTGTGTATATATTCCTTTTGCAAATATTACTAGTTAGTCTAATCTCTACTTGGCTAGCTTTTCTTAATATGCTAATTTTTTCAATAACAAGTTACACAACCTTAAATAAAACCGTGAGAAAATTAAATATTTCTGTCTAGGAAGTTGATGTCGAATAATCTAAAAATTGCCTTGTTTTCAAAATTTCTTGATAAGTATTACATTTTGTGAGACAACCTGTACATACTCCAAAATATTTATTTTAATCAATTTACACCATGCCAACAAAAAAAAATTCCTCGTTGACACAACAAATCGAAAACCGTGAACGGAGAAAAAGTGAAAAAGGACTCACCACCGCTGTCCACTGCTGGCCGTCGAGGGTCGTAGCTGCCCCGGGGGGCTGCTGCGGTTCCTCTTTCGCGGTGGCGGCCACCCGGATCGCGGGCGCGACGGCCGGGGCGGGGGTCAACTTGGCCGCTTTCGCAGGGGAGAGGCGGCTGCTGGGTCGCGCGCCAAACGGGAAATAGGGGCTGTCGGCCGCGAAGGGCTCGCCCGCGGCCTGCGTCGGGCTCGCCCCCGGGCCCGCGTATACCGGCCCCGTCGGACTTAACGCGTACGGCTGCAATAACAATAATTTTTTATTACACTGACTACACTAAACGAGACTCGGTGTACACACAAATAAAGGATATATATTTTCGTATGAATAAATCCATTTCCGATTTAAAAAAATGCATTCTTGAAAAATGTATACTACAAAATCAATCGATATTGTAAGTATTCTTAATTTTAAATGTACTATTGTAAAACCCCTCACTTCATGGGCCCATTTCAATCCTATATCTCGTTTTCGAGATATCGGCGCTCAATTTGTTGCGTAATTTGTTAAACGTTGGATCAAAATCACAAATATGGAGAGAGAGATAAGGCTGCTATTATTTTATCTTAAAAACAAAACGAAAATAGATAAGAACAATAAAATATTACGAAAGTATTACTATTATAAAAACACACTATGTTTTCTTATTTTTCAAAAATTCTTCTTAAATAAATTTAAAGAAAAATGTAGGCAATGACATGAAAAAAAATAGATAGACAGGTTTATTACAATATATTTTGTCTCTTGCAATTTCTTATGAAACATACAGGTTCCAAATGAAAAATTAAAATGTTAAATATTGCACGTCGAAAAACATTTATTTTAGAAAAATAATTTCAAACACTTTTATTTTGTACCAATATTAATCAATTATCATCTAAATACTATTAATAATTAATAATTGATCTATTCATGCGTAAACTATGAATAAATACCTTCTCTAAAACAATTATACAAACAACAAACAACGACCTGGCGCACTTCTGAATTTAATTCACCGTTACTGAATTAAAACTATTATTATTGAACAATTAAATGATTAGATTATATTTTTGATTAAATTACTAGTATTTTGTTTTAATTGGAAACAGTAAGAATTATGAAAAATTGCAGAAGAGAATAAACAAAACACAAAATAAAAATTACACATTTTTTAAGTCATTTCATAAGTTTTTTGTTAAATTTAATTAAGAAAAATAAGTATTCTAATTTAAAAAGTAAAATAAAAAATACACAGAAAGTGTGTTTTTCTACTCCCTAATACCTAATTATACACCGATCTAGCGCGCGGAAAGTGTCATTTTACCACGTCAGTATCGTTTCCCACGAATCCGAGACACTTCGGATATTTCCGGGATCTTACGGGTTTCGGAGCAATCGGATGTTCTAGTGAATTTTGATGGTCATGTCAGTGAACGCGTTCGTGGTGTTTTGCAAAAATGTACCCAAAAACGAACGGTCGTAGAAAAGTATAGTATGCAATAGGTTTAGTAAACATTTCAAGTCATTCGTTTATTAATCACTCCCTCCACTTGTACCAAATAAACTCGTGCTTCAAATGCCGTTTACCATACTTGTTGCGTAATATACCATTTTATAATATACCAATTAAAATTTAAAACTTTTCAAGGATTTTGCATGAATTTAAATGATGATCCGATATCCATTTTGTCGAAATACGTTACTAAAATATATTTTGCGTCATCCTGTACATTTTTTTCTTTATTCGACTAAATTTAACAAATTTAAACAAACGCATAGTGGTTAAATTCGTCGTTTCTGAAATGTTTCAGTTTCATCAACATTTACAGAAAGAATGTCTTTTATGGTATGTCTGTGAAATAAACTAAACTTAGTCTAATTTTTTTTAATTATAAGAAAAAAATCAAAATTACGGTGGTCACTAATATTTATTCTAATTCCTATTCCTATTCTATATGCAGTGCGTCCCTGTCCTTTATGGCCATGGCGTTACATTCAGACCTTTCGATTCATGTTACTCTTGTACTTTCGAGGAAGTACAGTACCTCTTTGATGGATAGTTTAAGTAGTTCCTCAGTGTCAATAAATTAACTAGTACTCTTAATCGGTTGCTCTCTAGTGATGGGTCGCAGGTTAGGAGATGAATTAGAGTTTCCTCCTCTTGTAAACACAGCCTGTATGTGCTGCGTCGTCCACCCCCATGAGTTGGAGGTGCCTTCTTAGATGGCAATGTCCTGTTAGGACTGCTACCCGCGTTCGTAGTCGTACACGCCTGAGACCAAAATCCCACTTTCGATCCTGAGGCATAGAGAGTTCCGCAATTAGACACCCTCGACTGCCTCAGTCCCGGCAAAGCCTCTTAGTGCAGAATGTACTTCATCCCGAGCCATTTATTCAGCTCGCTCTTCAGCACGCTATTTGCTAACTTTCTGTTATTTCATTTAGATAGTAACAATTACAAAAATACTATAGAAAAAATTAGCTTGTTTTCGAAATCAGAACATCGGTCTAAAGTGAGGTGCGATATTTTGGACACTTCTCACTGTACTAAAATAAAACTCTATATAAATATATTGGTTCACCCTACCCAACAATAAGGAAAATTCCCAAATAAAAATTTTATTACAAAAGTAGGCATTTTATGTATTAAATATGTAGGAAGATTATAAAAATCCCAAATAAATTGAAAATGAAATAAATTGGTTCTTAGATTGGAAAACATATGAATAAAATTTTAAGTTTCTTCGACGACAGAAAAACTTCGAATGCTAAACAATATATAACCCTAAAACTATTTGCTAACTCAAATTAAATAAAAATAGCCAATAATAAGCTAATAACAAAGATGTTCCGTCAATTTAAATATTTGGGAGCATCAAAGTTTAACCTGTACACATACATGTCACACATACTTTTACATTAGAGAAGAAAATAAGAAGCATTTTTTAATTCTGTTTAAAATACTATTTTGACTTCATTCTAACATCTATGTTAATACCATGGTAGCCATGCAGCCTAAACATTGGTCAACTGTCAACTGAACTGAAACATCAAAAATCTCAAAGAAAAATGAGTTTTAAAAGAAAGCTACATAATTTCAGTTTAATTAGAAACGTACATTCTGATTCTGAATAATGTTAATCATTTTCATAATATCAATACAATTGAAATGTATTTCAAAAGCAATATTATGCAGTACTGGATTAAAAAAATGCTTAATAGAAAAATATAATTTGATATAAGAAATAGAAAAATGTTATTAAAGAAATATTTGGTTGCGGATATACAAAGTCCAGATTTTTTCTTGCCTCGACATTTTGTTCATTCCGATTTGGATCCAAAGAAAAAAAGTTTGTCTGATTACTAACAACGTTGTTGCACTAACAGCTATAAAACGGTAACAAATATTAAACAACTTTATTGGTATTGGTTAATTAGATTTCTATATTTAAAAGGTTTATTTCACTTACCATTCCGTTATCTATGTAAGGCGGTTGAAACCCCGGTTTTTCTGAAAAAAAAAGCACCAGACACATTAAGGAAATGAAGAAATTACGCATTATTTTGTTTAAAATAAAGCTTTGCACATACAAATTTGACTAGTTAGACAACTTTAAAGTTACTGTTTTTAAATACAAAAAGCCAAGTTTTGGATATGTTTGCACATATATGGGGTGACCCGTTTATTACGAGATGACACCTTATCCCAGAATCTGTAAAAAATATCAAAAAAACTTAAACACATTAGTTGTTTGGATTTACTTATACTTTAAAAATACAGGATACATACAGGATGTTTGTGTTTTCGTGGAAAAGCAACAAAGTTCTCCTTTTATATAAAACTATATTTAAAAAAAATAATTCCTCCTTTTTAGACATATTACATATACCTTACCATTTCTGATATATTTTGAATTTAATATCAAACGTAGCGTTTGCAGCCTTTATTATATATTTGTATGTATATATTCGGGTTAATTTCCTTATAGAAGGGGATCTACTTAAGTGATATGTGTTGATATTTCAAAAATAAGTCAACACAGGGTAATCAAAAAATTATATATATACATAATATTCGTTAAACATTTAAATGAAAAAATCATTGCTATTTTTTCAATTACAAACACCCCATTATTACAATTTCATCACATTTGACATTTAAAAACAGGCTGGATTTGGAAAAAATTGCCCTTTTGGAAAATGTTTTTCTACTGTAAAAATAGCACTCTACTTTTATTTATTTACTATTAGTATTCTCGACTTTGTTTATTTATTTTTTTGAAAAAACGTTCTATAGACATGAGATAAGAGTTTAACTGAAGCTAAATTAAGTTAAGCAAAGCTCTGAAAATGCTAACAGGGTGGCTGGAGAAACGTTGGCAAAGTCGATTTCTCAACAGCCGACGTAGAGGAAAAATAGTATTACAGTAACCTTTGAAAGGTTTTTTGAAAAAAAAAAAGTTTCATTTTAATTTTTAACGTTAGTTTTTGACGACCCGGTATGTATTTATTTTTAAAACATCAACAGCAGATCCTTGTCTATAAGAAATTCAACCCCAACAAAGTCGGAGATGATTGGCTCACGGCTCATTATGGGACGACTCATCACAAAACTTCTAAAAAATATTAAAAAATTATAGAGACACAAGTAGTTTGGATACGTTTATACTTTTAAATTATTTTGTTGTTATATGGCCCGGATAGGGTTTTTTAGGTAGGATCCGGTAAGAAAATTGACTTTCTTCTGAAACTCACAATATCTTACGATATCGAGTGCTTCTAGAACTTACACAATATGGTGCCGAATCTGTGATTGAATTTTACAAAAATGAGTTTCACGAATGTTTCGCGGATCGAAACCTTAAGTAAAACCAATTAGGACACATGGAAAATTCAGATGCAAGGTCAACAATTAACGGAGATATAGAGAAGCCGGAGTTGAAATCCGACAACGAAGAATCCAAAAAGGAAGTCGAAAACTGAGATAAAAACGACAGCAAAGCCAAATCAGATATTATATTATCTAGAAGCCCATCGGAGCATAAACATATCAAAAACTGCAAAACTTCAATCGAAGTATGGCTTAAGCTGGAAGGTATTAACCAACCCAAAGGTGCCGCAAAAAAGGCAACTTTGTTGAAATAATTAACATTAGAACAAATTTTTCGACGCTGTTGACAAGCTGGAAGAAATGGACATTCCCATCAATCCCGATTTGCTTGCTATCATGCTATTATACAATTTGCCGTCAAGTCTCGAAAATTTTCGTTGTGCGATTCAATAGCGAGACAAGTAACCGACTCCCGAAACACTTCGTGTGAAAATAAATGAAGAATCCGACGCTCGAAACAACGATCAACGAACGCAATGTTTGTAAATAGAAAATATAAGCAAAATAAGAGGAGAACAAAAAGTGGTCGAAAGACAATGTTAGTGCCAAGGTTAATTCAAGTAGCACCCAGAATTCGGCTGAAAAATTCAAATATTAGTGCCGTTGATGCAGCAAGGTACGCCACAAAGCGGTAGACTGTCAAAACAAAGGTAAAGAATAACAATCTAGTGCGAATTGTGACACAGAAAATTTGGAAACCTCAAATTTTATGGAAAAAGAAGCTTTTAAAATCGCTGTACAAAAATCTGAGTGGACTGTATTTGGGCTGGTTACTATTTTTTGATTTTCCCTTTAATAAAGTTTCGAGATCGACGATATAATGACGACTCCGAAAGGGTGCGGCCTACCTTGATCCCTTGAAGGGGGTTGCTGGTTCTCTGCACCCGCGGGTTTTACACGTACCGGCACTTTTAATTGCTTTACACTTTGGAATTGTCCGTGATGCGTTCGGTTCGACGGTCGATCAGAGAGAGAGTCCCGTATGGATCGATTTAAAAGTTTTGACCTTTGTCTTCGGCCGCAAGTAAAAAGAGTCGTCATTTTTTGAGCGCGAAAAAACCGCGAAATAAATTAATATATGTAGAGTAATTTAAAAAGGAGTTTGCATAATTCATAAATCCCTTATCGGGACGATACATACCGCCCACCAAAATGGTACATTTTAACACCACGTTTGAAATTAATATATATACTAAGAATTAAATTAACGTAATTAAAAAAAAGAAAAAAAAAAGAAGAGACGAGAGAAAGGGTTTAACACTGCGGCAAAGGACAAACCTTTGACACAGATCTTTTTATGGTACCCGTTGCGGTTTTAATGGTTACAACCCTAACCACGCCATCGCGACCGGGGTGTGTTTGGATTATACGTCTTAGCTTCCACTTAAGTGGGGGTAAAAGATCTTTAACCAGGACAAGAGTATTGTTTTCGATTGGAACCGCCGGATCGTACCACTTACTTCTTTGCATTAAAGTATGTAAGTACTCCGTGTGCCAGCGTCGCCAGAAATCTTGGTGCAAGCGCTGAGTTAACTGCCACCGAGAAAGTGTATTTAATTTAATATCCGACAGATTAGGTTCAGGAAATGCGTTTAAAGGTTCGAGATTAAGAAAATGTCCGGGGGTTAACACATTGAGATCGTTAGGATCAGAGCTTATTGGGCATAATGAGCACGAATTAAGAACACTTTCTATGGACACAAGCACTGTATAGAATTCTTCATATGTGAGAATTTGGTCCCCCATTACTCCCACCAGGTGACCCTTGACAGATTTAATACCTGCCTCGAAAATACCACCGAAATTAGGAGCAGCTGGGGGGTTAAAATGCCACTTAATGTTTTCTTAGCTGCAAATCGATTTCCAAGTGTCTGAAATTTGTTTCGAAGCGCCGACAACGCGATAAAAATCGGCGGAGGGCGTCGAGAAATGCATCAGTAGAAAGTTCTGTGGCTAACTCCAGATGGATAGCTTTGGTAGCCATGCAGACAAAAAGGCAAATGTAAGATTTTAGAGTTTTGGCGCCTCGAGTCTTCCCCAGGGTGATACGAAAAGGGCCTCCCAAGTCGATACCTACCTTGAAAAAGGTTTGATCTGATTTAACCTAGTTGTCGGTAAATCTCCCATTAAGGGTTGAGACGAGAGAGGTTTGACGCGAAAGCATCGGTAGCAGGAGGATAACACTTTTCGTATGGTGCGTTTTGGAGATGTTATCCAATAATTCTGAGTTAGCAGATACTGCGTAGTTTGCAATCCGGGATGTAAATATTTATTATGGGTGTATAGAATTAGTAGGGTAGTGAGTTTATGTGAACCCTTTAAAAGAATGGGGTATTTTTGTTCAAACCCGAGCGAGGAGTGTGTTAACCGACCACCGACTCGTAGGAAATCGTTATCGTCGAGAAAGGGAGATAGCTTTCTCAGATATTTGGGAAGGCGTCCATTCTTTAGCAAAATTTTAAGTTCACCTGGAAATAGGATACGTTGAACTTCTTTGATTAACACCAGAAGGGCGTGATGGGTCTCATTTTCAGAGAGATCATCTAATTGGCGATTCTCGGGGGTGCGAGTATTAAGTATAAATCTTAAAATATATGCCGCTACTCGAATGATTTTAGTGATTGAGGAGAAGCAATCAATCAGAGAAGTGAAAAGATTTTCATCAGCGAAAGTAATTAGGACAAATTTGCGGGCCTCTACGGAAGTTTGAAATGTTTTATTTTCCGAATTAGAGACATTCGAAACGAAAGTATTCCTATCAGTGGAAAGGAAATGAGGTCCCGCCCACCATGTGGGATGGTTTACAAGCTCGGACGGGTAGAGACCTCTTGAGGCGCAATCAGCAGGATTTTAGCTTGAGGATATGTGAAACCAATTAGAAGGAGGGATTTTCTCTTGGATGTGACTCACTCTGTTAGCTACGAAAGTGGCCCATTTATGTGGAGAAAAATGGATCCAAGACAGAGCTACAGTTGAATCTGAATAAGCAAATATTTTTGTAATGTTAATGTGATCTTGATATGTATCTAATATGTAATGCAATAAGTCAGCTAATAACACAGCAGCGCAAAGTTCCAGGCGCGGTATAGAGATTTTCTTCAAAGGGGCTATTCTAGTTTTTGAACATACAAAGTGCACCTTGACTGGGGAATTTGTCGTCTGCGTGCGGAAATATACGACGGCGGCGTAAGCCTTTTCAGGTGAATCACAGAAACCATGCATTTCGTATGACGTTATGTTTTCTACGGAGATTCGCCGCGGTATCGATAAAGAAGAGAGGTGATAAAGTTCTGTTTTATACTGTGACCACTTTGTGACGATTTCTTGGGGAGCAGGTTGATCCCATTCGAGACCTAGAGACCAGAGTTTTTGTATAATGAGTTTTATATAGACGGTGACAGGTGTCAAGAAACCGAGGGGGTCGAAGACGCGAGCTAGTTGGGACAATAAATTTCTTTTAGTGCAAGCTTGTTCGAGGAAGTCAATTTTATAAGTGAAACTGTCAATTGCTGGAGACCATTGAAGCCCAAGAATATTTACCATAGACGTTTGCTGGAGATCGAGTGAGAGAGTTTCCATTTGCCGGAGAGAGGAAGGTAGATGTGATAGAAAAGATGAAT